TTCTTGTGTATTTATTTTACTTGTGCTCATCCTAAAATTCATGGTGCTGCAGGCTTGTGCTTAGTACCAGGCTTTTGCATTCTGAATAGGATGCTCTACAGAGAAGTGTTCTGGGCCAATGCATATGGTTTCTAGGCAATGTAATAACATAAATGATAAACTCTGTCATAATCTCCATCTGTCTGAAAGCCTGTTATGGAAAGAACATGTTTTAATGCCTGTAATATATATTACCAGATCTGCAGTTTCTTTTTGCCCAGTGAAACCTACTTATAAAGTTTTTTCTAACATAAAGTTTTACCTATGCTTTCTTATGTAGCTGTATTGCCAAGCACAGAAATAGAGATGAGATATCTTAGATACTTTATTAAAAGATCTTGAGATGACTTCACTAAGTTCATCTGAAATGAAAAGATGGTAAAGAAGTCGTGTTTTGTGGGGGAGTTTGTGTCTTATCTTCTCTATTCTGGATTGTGTTTGTTTTCCAGAGGTGTTTATTTACCACGTTCAATGACGTATCATTTGTTCCCTCTCTGGATATTGTTTTAGTGTTCCCACAATATTAGTATAAATTTATTACAGCCCATCTAACCTCTATCTGTACCAGAATTTGGTGAAAAAAAAAATTGCTATTCATTGAAATGCTAGGAAAATGAAAAGATTTGTCAGCACCAAATTTATGCTTTGATCTATCATGCTAGACCAACATGTTTTATCACTACTTCCATCAGCTGCCTCTTAAGCCTATTCAGCAGAACCACTGTCGTCTTTAGGTGTTTTGATCCTTTTTATCACGTAATCGTACTGAATGTTTCATGCTTATCAGGAAAGACTGACACCCTGAGAACTCATTTGCTAGGCCTGAGCCTGGACTGAGGTAGTCAGGAGATGACTGTGGTCTAATGAGAAGGAAATATCATCTTCACGTATGATCACCACTGGTGACTACTTGAAACTCTTGCTGTTAATGTATCTTGGGTATTTCAAGATTATTTCTCATTTATTCCAGATGAATGATGCAGGGAGAAGATGAATAGCCTCCACTGTGTATCTGTTTTGAAACAGGTTTATTTTCATTTGTTTATTTCTGTTCAGGATTCTAATACAATTTCTCTATTCTCTTACAATAAGTAAGAGTAGCAGGAAGGAGTTGTTGACAGCAGGGTTATTGTGGTTGGTGGCCAAGCAGAACTTCGTAGCAGAAGTCTGTTAGCTTTTTGGCCATGAAAGATACTAAAGAAATGTCTGAAACAGTTGGTCAAATCAGCTGATTTAGTGTGTCCCCTGCACTGGGTTTGGGAATGAAACAGCTGTTTAACCAGCTTGCAACTAGTTTTGCCTCAGGATCCCATGCAGTTTTCAAGTGGAAGTGTACAATGAAAAATTATCATTGTAGAACCTGAAAACTTATTTTTCAAAGATCACTTTTCTCTAACTTTGATCTGGAAAATGTTTCGTATATAAAAGCTGCCTTTTGGCGTGCACCTTTTACTTAAAATTTTATCCTGTTTTGAGGCTCCGCTGGTCAGGCAATCGCTCTTTTAATCTCTAATTCAGCACTTTCTTCCCAGCCTAGTTCTGTGGCCAAGTACTATATTATATCAGTTTCCCATTCCTCTAACAGATGAACATTTCTGTGTTTCATGGAAACACAGATATTAAATATACTTAAAGGACTGCAAAAAACCATAGTCATTACCATGAAATAATCTCTGCTGTCACTGAGACAGGTGAGTTTTCTCACATACAGAAAATTTGTGGAGTTCTTTTAAGTGGACCTTGAGAGGAAGCTGAAAGTGAGATAGTGTGGGTAGGTTTTTATGAGTGCTGAGAGGCAAATTGGTTTGGTTTTGTTTTGCAAAGGGGGAAGGAAAAAAAAAAAAAAAAAAGCAACTACTGTACACACACACACACACACACACCCTCCCACCCCATCAAAATTTTGTAAGAAGAGGGAGGGAAAGGAGAGAGAATAGTAGAGGGAGGTGACGAAATGCACTCCAATGTCATTGTGGAACAACATCTAAAAGCCCCTCTTGGTCAGAAACGATCAAGTCTTGAGTGATGAGGGGTAATGGGGGAGTAGGTTGCGTAGCAGTGTAAGCCACATGAGTTGAACTTCAAGGGTACCATTGCTGTTGTCACCACGTGGGAGCTTAGGAAGCAGACATCAGAATATCCCCCACTGTTTCAATATATCAACAGTAGTAAGGAGAGAGGCAGGTGATGGACCAGCAGAGCAATAGGAAACCTCTTCTGCTTGTGTGTCCCTTGGCATGATAGAGAACCTTGGAGCAGAATGCATAATTGTACAAAAAGGAATGAAACTCCAGGGGTTTAGTGGTGACTTCTGCAACTCCTCTTACTGAGGAAGACAGGAATGTGCTGGGCTTTGACATGGGTCCTCCTCTTCGCCTGTCCCCTTTCACTAGCTCTTCTTTTCACTTTATTTTTTAAAACCTCATGTTTTAGCTTGAGACACTTCATTTGTGTGTAATGTCACAATAGTTACAGCATGGAGTATGGGTTGGTAAAAGAGAGGGCAGCTGGAGATCTGATTTATTACAGAATCTTCCTCCTGGTCACATAGAAAAATAGTTTGTATTTGCATCGTGTGAGGATGCTGTAGCTGCTAATTGCATTGTTGCTCCTTCTGTGCTACTAGTAAATGGACATCTGAGAGGAAAGAGGTAGTACTGAAAATTGGAGGATAATTAACTTTATGATGAGTTGGGCCAGCAGTGACTGTATGAGTGGATGAGTGAGCAGTGCTTGACTAGGCAAAGGAATTGAAAGAATGTCTGAACTGGAGAAATGGATGGGGAGTTTGCACTTGTGAAAGCACAACTAACATTGTAATGCTGGCATATAGTTTAGGTTGTGACGAGGTTTTAGGTGCTTTTAGCTCTAAGAGCTCAGAGATTCTTTTCTCCCATATTTCTTGCAATTAGTAGAAATGAGTTACTACTAAGAAGATGAGATTCAGTTCCCCAGCCTGAAGGGTTCAGAGAAGGTGACATTGGGTGGTGGGAATTGTGCGAGCAGGGGTGCATCATAGGGGGACTTTAATAAATCATGGACCTAAAGTAATGTGGTTAGTATACTGGATATTCTGTATGAGATGGATCAGACTGCTTCCCAGAATTTAATATTTTTTGATCTGCAGTGTATCCTATAGGATATATTTTATAATTTTTGAGGGGTTAAGGGTGACTTGTAAATCCAGAGTAATCCTTGATTGCTCTAGTGGTTAATTATTTATTGTTCATTTTTTAAAAATGCCTTTCTTTGCTAAACTGAATTTATCTAGTTTTGAGACAAAATAGACCTTTTGTCTGCTATACTAAAGAGGTAGTCATCAAAGTTTGCTTCCACAGTCAGACGTTCAGTTGAGGCCACTTAAACTTGACTTTGATAAACAGAATGGACTGACCTTGGGAAGTTTTCTGGTCTTCTTTTTTTTTTTTTTATGTGTGTGGTGTGTTTTTTGTGGGGTTGTTTTGGTTTTTTGACAAAGTGGGGTTGTTTCATGTCTTTTTTTTCCCCCAGCTCTTCCATTATTTTTATAACTCCTCTTTGGACCCAGTATATCAGCATCTGTCTTCAATTGAAGAGGGTAGAGATTGATGCAATATTCCTGTTGTGTTTGTGGTACGTGAAATAGGTGAAGTTCTTCACTCTTCATCAGCACCCTCCTCACGCATTGAAGGACTGAAGTATTGATCCTTTGACCTCAGCAGGTTACTGCTGCAAGCAGTGAGAGGGTTCCTGCTTGTTGCACTTCCACTCAGAAATGCTTTCAATTCTGAATAACTATTCAAGTTTTTCTGACTAAATAATAATTTGGTCCACCTTTGGATTGGTAAGCGTAGGCTGTTTGCGTGTACGGAGCAGATTTCTCCCTAAAAGGGAGATATTCCAAATGTTCAGTGGAACTACTGCTTCTATTTTTGCGTGCATTTTGAGTCTGTCATCTTTTCTTCCAGCAGCTCTGCTTTTAAGTAATTCTGGCTTCATAGATTCTTAATTATAGTAATGATCACATCAACTTTTTTATCTTGATGATTTCCTGTTTATTCCCCTTTGTGTGATCTATGTGAAGCATTTTAGGTAATTTGGGTATTTTTCTGTTCTTTTGTTGCTGGCATTTTGTTCGTTGTGCTAGATGATCAGTTATGTCTTCAAAGAACTATCTGTTTCAGAGATCATAGGTCATTGTCCCGATGTTTGTTGATTTACAGTATTCTGAAAAAAACCCCCAACAAAATGAAAAAACAAAACCACAACTGAAAACAATTACTTTTTGATCGCTGTGTTTTCATTATTGAGGACATGCTACAAATGGGGATGCTCACAATATGTTGATTAGGAAGAAAAGACTGCAGGTTTAGACAGCAAAAGTAGAATAAAAAGCAGTAGTATAATCCATTAGGTGTTCTGTAGAGAAAGAGAAGTTATTTTCCTTACACAGGTTCTTCCTCACAGCCTTCCATAGGCTTGGCCACATTCATTCAAACTGTAGCTGATGATATTTTTTGTTTACTATTCCATCCTTCATAACTTCTTTTCCAACTGCTGCTGCAAAGGAAGAACTTTGCTTGCAGCTTCATGTTTTTAATTGAAAGGTTGACTCTGTTTTCTCTGAGTCAGTAATGCTTTTTTGGCCATTTTCTTTTTGCTTAAGCAGGAATACCATGTCCGCATTTTGACCACACACCAAGTGGGTGAGGAATGGGAACCTGTTACAACTGGATATTAACCTGCATAATTTTCTCTTTCACTTTTAATGACTTTAAATGCCATTTTTACTAATTGTATAAAAAGCTCAATTTAAAAAAAACCTCAAGAGTAATGTTCAGTATCTTTTGTCTGGCTGATTGACTTCTTAACACTCTATAAAATGCTAAGGAAAAAGACAAGGCATGACATTGCCTGAAGAAATGTGTTAACAGTGTTCTTACGTAGCATGACTGCCTTCACATGTTACCTTCTGAATTACTTGGCTTCTTTTTAGCACTTTCTACCACTGTACTGCAGTCCATTTGTCTTGTCTGACCTTGTTTTCTTCACGGGTATTGACATTACCTCTTTTTCTAATATCAGAACATTTTTAGATACCTTCTTGTGCCTTGCCATTAATATAGTTATTTTAATTAAATCTGCTTCAAGACTGCAATGTCGTGAATAATGTCTTTAACTGGATCCTTACAAGCATTAGAACTTATACACTGATCTCCAGATGTACTGTACTGGGTCTGGCAGGGATGGAGTTAACTTTCTTCGTAGCAGCCCCTATGGGCTGTGCTTTTGATTTGTGACTAAACCTGTGTTGATAACACACCAGTGTTTTGGCTATTGCTGAGCACTGCTTGTGTAGTGTCAAAGCTTTCTTTTTTCCTCAGCACCCCAGCACTGAGTAGGCTGAAGGCAGGCAAAAATTGGGGAAGGGACACAGCCAGGACAGCTGTCCTGGGCTGACCAAAGGTGCGTTCTGTGCTATATAGTGTCACGCTCAGCAGTAACAAACAGGGTTGGAGGGTGTCTTCCAGGATGGTTATTGCTTGGAGATTGGCTGGGCATTGGTCTGCTTGTGGGAGGTGGTGAGATGCCTTTGCATCACTTAGTTTCAGTTTGCTCATTTTTTTTCCCCCCTCTCTCCTTCAGATATTGAACTATCTGTCTTGATCTACAAGTTGTCTAACTTTTGCTCTTCTTTTTCTCTCCCCCCATAGGAACTGGGAGTCAATTTTTGTTATTCTGTAACTATTTAACTTACTTCTGAATTAGCCAATGTAATTTGCTTTCCGTTCTAGTGTATCTGGTTGGCTTGTAGCTACGTGACGTTTGGTTGGTGGAATATGTAAAGTTGGGATTTAGTGGCACACACGGGAACTGGACGAAACTGTTCCATCTGAACATCAACAAACATTTTTCATGATGAGGATGACCGATCACTGGCACAGGTTGCACAGAGGGGTTGTGGAGTCTCCCACGTTGGAGATATTTAAAAGCCACCTGAACATGGTCCTAGGCAGCTAGCTCTAGGTGTCCCTGCTCGAGCAGGAGGTTGGACCAGATGCCCTCCACAGGTCCCTTCCAACCTCAACCAGTCTGTGTTTCAGTGTTGCTGGGATCCCAGGTTCCTGTGGCACTAAAAGGAGAGCTGTTTCCATCGTCTCAATGTTGCATGCTAATCATTGGTAATGAGAGAGGAAGGGTCAACATCTTCATGTGCAAGTGAATGTTACTTGTACAATACTTTATTAAGAAATACTTACATATTCTGAAAGAAATGGCTTTCTGAGATGAGTTTTTACCCTGAGGAGTGAAATCTGTTGAGCTGAAATAGTATGTGATGTTCCTTGGTTTGAAAGTGGAAGAAAACAGATTTTTAGGATTTTTCATTATGCATTATAGCCTATAGAATTAAAAATCTTTTTAAACTGTAAAAGCTTTTTAAAAAGAAAACTTCACATGCAAAGAAATATCAAACTAGCCCCTAAGCTACTTTTTTTATAACTGGATATGATACCAGATCTCATTACTGAAGCTGACTAGAAGTATGGAGAATAGCCATTCATGTTTTAGAATAAAATAACCAGAGAAATGATATGTTGGTAGTGCTGCATTTTGGCACTGTGCAAGTATGAATGCAAAATTAAAATAGTCATGGGAAGACCTATATTCTCTTTTTTAATGTTCTGTGCTGTATATGCTTATGACATCATGACCTCTAAACTAGCCATATATTCACACTGTTCTCTAGGATCTAACAGTTAGATGTAATGCTTAAATTGTTTGCCTTTTGTGCATCTCTCTTAATTGCATTTTGAACATTAGAATGTACAGTAGAAGGGGAAGAGTGGTTGATGAGAAGCTCAACATGAGCTGGCAGTGTGCGCTTGCAGCCCAGAAAGCCAACTGTGTCCTGGGCCGCATCAAAAGAAGCGTGACCAGCAGGTCGAGGGAGGTGATCCTGCCCCTCTACTCCGCTCTTGTGAGACCCCACCTGCAGTACTGCGTCCAGCGCTGGGGGCCCCAGTACAGGAGAGACATGGAGCTGTTGGAGAGAGTCCAGAGGAGGGCCAGGAAGCTGATCAGAGGGCTGGAGCACCTCTCCTGTGAGGACAGGCTGAGAGAGTTGGGATTGTTCAGCCTGGAGAAGAGAAGGCTCCAGGGAGATCTAATTGCAGCCTTCCAGTGCCTGAAGGGGCCTACAGGAAAGCTGGCGAGGGACTGTTTATCAGGGAGTGTAGTGACAGGACAAGGGGGAATGGGTTTAAGCTGAAGGAGGGTAGATTTAGATTAGATGTTAGAAAGAAATCCATTACTGTGAGGGTGGTGAGGCACTGGAACAGGTTGCCCAGAGAGGTTGTGGATGCCCCCTCCCTGGAAGTGTTCAAGGCCAGGCTGGATGGGGCTTTGGGCAACATGGTCTAGTGGAGGGGGTCCCTGCCCACAGCAGGGGGGTTGGAACTAGATGATCTTTAAGGTCCCTTCCAGACTAAACCATTTCATGATTCTGTGAAAAATGAAATTTGTAGCTGTTTTCATCTTTTATCAAGTTTACAAAATGGATATATAAATTCATCTGTGGTCATTGAATTTTAATGTGATAATGAAGAGTATCACCCTTTCCCTGCTTATAGTAAACCCTGATATTGAGGCCTTGTTCAAAGTAATAAAATCATACTTAATTTCTTTTGATGGGAATGGAACTGAGTTGAGTTTGGAACTGAATGGTAAAATAGCTTTTATTTTTACCCTGTTATTGCTGACAGGTTTTCTTAGCTCTTATGATAATGTCCACCCATTTTGCTTTTATCATTAAAAATGTCCAGTTGACCATTACTGTGGTTCACAGGAGCAGCACTAAGAAACAGGAGTAACCCCTACATCTTTCGCTCGGTATTTTTAGGCGGGGGTGGGGGAGGATGATAATTTAAATATATAAGCTGTAGAACATTTTGCTAACTAATCCTTAATCAACCTTTCTGTGTCTTTACAAGTAGATCATTTAATATGATGTAAACACCAATTTGACTTTCTTATGATAACGCTATAGCAGTTTAAGTTTCTTCTTTTTTGTGGTATTTCAGCATCTTTCCTATTCAGTGCATCATACAGATTCAAGCATGGTTTTCTATTTATTGTGTATTTCAGGTTGAAAATTAAGTATTTTTTTTGTGTCTTTGTTCAGTATTCCAGCAACTAAAACACCTGATGTTAAAAGTACTTAGTGCTGTGAGTTTAGGCAGAGGAGACCCCCACCTATTAGAAAATATATTGTAAGCATCCTTAAAACTGTACTTGAAGTTATAAACTAAGGAATTACATGTGACTTTTAAAAATCTTATTTCAGACTTTGTTTTGGACTTACAGCTGAAGCTGTGTCCTTCCTGACTTAGAAGTGCAACAGTTTGCTGCAAGTACTGTCTACAGTATTTCCATCTATATCCCTTTTCAAAAATACTCTTGGTATCTTGATGCTTGGGAATCTGTGATCATTGCCCAGGCTCTGTTCTGAAGTCCTGAATTCCATTCTGACACACTGGAATGACCCTGTCGTGCTAGATGGAGGAGTAGGGGAAAATGTCGTTCAGTACATGTATGACTCTGTATTTAGAAATTAAAACCTGTGAGAAGTTTAATGGAAAAAAAACCAAAACCCAGACTTTCTTGTTTCAGTTTAATGGCTAGATACATCTAGTTGTACAGGTCTTTCAAAATAGTAACTTGCTGTTTTGTGTAATTTGTGCTTTAAATAGTTTGATTTAAAAGTTGTAGACCTCTTACTGGTTTTTTTTTTTTTTTACTTATGATTATAGTCTTAGGGATACTTTTTAAACAGTGATCTAAACCTAACTATTCTGAAGTTTATGTTCAGCATTTAGGATCTTCAGTTAATCTTGTAAAATGATCCCTGGACGTTTCTCAATGCAGAATTAATAAAAAACAAAGATTAAAAGGTGGCAGTCTACAAAAATCATGAATATTATTAGGGAAAATAAGTTTCATATGTTTTAATATGAGCCAGATTCAATATCAAGAAAAGAAAGGACAACAGAAGAATGTAAAGGAATACTGATCCTTTTAAAATAAATTACTTTTAGTAATTAATAAATTAAGAAATAAGGTTGCTTCTCATAAAATATATCATTTAGTTTTATGCTGTGCTGTACGACAGTGGAGCCACTTGACCTCTAGGCACTGCTGTAATACAAATTTTACTGTACAGATGATGAGTGATTAAATATTGTATAATATTTTTCAGCTGCCAGTTGAAGCCAGGATAGAAGTGACAAAGAAGGCTATGAAGGCAGTAAAACATCTTTCTGAGAAATCAAGAAAAAAACCTTCTGAAAATGGCATGGAAGATGCTAAAAATCCATCTGTTGCTTATGAAGAAACTCTGAATCACTTGCAGCAATCTCTTGCTCATCTGGAAACACTCACTCATAGTTTTATCACTTACTTGAAAACCAGCGAACAGGTAATGATTACTGATCAGATGCTTGTTTTGAGTGTTGCCATGACTAGCAGTGATGGACATCAATCTTCTGTCACATTTTATTAATGTTTTGTAGCTTAGTTTTTGTTGACCTGGTCTTTGAAAATTCAATTCCATCAATTTTTTTCTTTTTCGTAGTGTATATTAAATCTTGGTAGGAAGATTCTGAATGATACATCCCTGTAAATAAAGAGTACACTGATTCATGTTCAAAAATTATCCGTTCACAGGATACACTACAGAAGTATGGCTATTTATATGATTTGTCAAGGTCGGAGAAAGAAAAAATCCATGACCAAGCAGTAGCTATGTGTATAGATGGACAACCCCTGGACATGATACAGCAGTTGTTACAAGTGGCTGTTGGAGATCTCGGTCTTTCTCCCAAGGATATTGTCCAATATGCTATTAAAAAAATTGTATGCACATTAAGGTAATTACAATGCCACAGTTAAGCCCCAAAACCTTTCTTCTGAGTTTTATGGGGGTATTTTTTGTTGTTGTTTTTGGTTGGTTGGTTTGATGTGGGGTTTGTTATTTGTTTGCTTGATGGTTTTTTGTAGCGAGTACTTGTTTGCTTTGGATATCTGGATTTTGCACCCTCAGTGCGATGGAATCCATGTGCCTGTCTTGATGTTCTCTGTCAGAACAACGTAACCAAGCAGCACAGTCCCCATTGCTGAGATGTTAAATTCTCCAGACAGCAAGCAGAGAATGAAGTTCTGGGATTTTATATCTACATCTCTGTCAGTATTTGTGTTCCCAGGATGGAGAGAGCCCAAGATTTTTTTTTTTTTCCTATCATTGTTGACAGAATATCAATGAGCTCTTAAGAATCCTTCTGTCCATGATGATTTTTCCTTCAGAGCAGCATAAAAGAATTCACTTTGGCTGTTTTTCTGGAGTCAGATGAAGTTATTTCATCAGAGTTTTTTCATTTGAGGAAGCTCTCTTGGATTTAATGTTGCTGAGTGCTGCCTGTTGCATCTCCCTGGCTGGGTCTTTGATGTACTGAATTTCCAAATGAAATACCACTGTATCTGTAACCTAGTGGTTTCAATAGAAATATTTTCTCCCCCTCACCATCTTTTTTTCTTTTTTCTTTTTTTTGGGGGGTGGGGTAATAATTTTATATCATCTATCACAAATGAACAGATACTTCTCATTTAACTATTCATACAAAGCTCTCTTCTCAAGTATTTCTGTTCCAAAGAGTTACATGCAACAAGTACATATGAGTATTTTGCTGTTCGATGGCTGCTAGACGCTGTTTGTCACTTCTAAGACCACTTTAGATACGTAAAACTTTGAGAATTTATCTTCTTCTCTATTTTATGTGGGCAAATTATGTGGACAGGATGATCTGAATGCACATACCAGAAATAGAGAAACAAGTCTAGCATGGAAAGTAGTCTATGGCTCTACCTTTTCTTCAGCATGTATGTGTATATTACAGGAGATTGAAGTGCCACAGATGAAAAGAAGGCAGCCTGTCAATGTGTCTGCGGTCCTCTTTGGCAGAAAATTGATTTCTCCTGTCACTCAGTTTAAGAGTGTTCATAGCATCCTCAGCGATGGTAGAGCTTTTACGCAGCAGCATAAGTAATATTGTCTTTCTCGCCGGGGCTTGTCCATTTGATGAAGAATAATTTGGCTTCAGATAATCACTGTCCTGCTGTTTCTGACGGGAACACAGCAGTGTGATGCATCTGGATATAAAGCTCACAAAGTCCAGTTATTTCAACTGTAATGAGTCTCATTAATATGCAGACTGTGAGAAAACTGTCAAAATTCTCCTTTCTACTCTGCTTCTTATCAACAATTTTCTGTGAGCTGAATTATTTGTTCTTTATATGCATTGCAAGGCTGGAATGTCTGCAAGTTGATTTAAAGTTCTGGGGTAGAGACCATGACCAATAGCTCCTGTGCAGCACTTTCCAGTAAAGAAGAGAATGCCTGTCTCTCCGGTAGAGAAAACTGTAGTGGCAAAGATAGTAGAATTAACTGGAGACTTCAGATAAACTCAGAAATTCACTCATTTGGTGATGTGACCTAATGTGATCAGTAGAAATTTTTTTCTTTTTTCTTTTTTCCCTTCTTTTTTCTTTCTTTTTTCTTCTTTGGGGGGAAGAGGAAGGTCATTTCATATAATTGATGATAAGTGAACAGACAGTGACCTATAGAAGGTTTGTCTACTACGATAATAAAAAGCATGAAGTGAAAATCTGGCATAAAATAAAATAGAAAATACTTGAAATAATATCCTCCCTATTATGAAATTCAGTAAGAGGTTAATATTGTAATCTAGTATCACTCTAAATATAGGGAGCAATTAGAAGAAAGGTTGTTGCTTGGCATCTCTTAAGGCTGCTGGTATTAATGTTGTTGCTGTGAATAAAATTGTATGCATCTCTATCCTACACGCTTTCAAGCTAGCCACGTTTTGTGTGATACTTGCATTTCAGGGTCAATGGGCAAAAACTACAATGAAAGAAGTAGTCTTGCCTATGTACCTGGAATGACAAACTACTATTCAATAAATGTAACATTTCAAGGGAAAACTCTTCAGGTTTATTTCTTGGAGCTTTGTTATGTTATACAGTGTGGTGATTTTATACAATAGTTTTGAAAGAGATCATGTTGGAAAAGTCATTCTTTGACAAATAACCTTCAAAGTAGCAGTTGTAAAGTTGTAACACTGAACTCGTGTCCAGATGGATGTAGAATTTCATGAGATTTTGGAAGCATTCACCAGGCAACGAGCAGGAAAGGTTTGGTGAAATGTTGAGTTCTTGTTTCATGGCCAGTGTTTTGTGAAGAAGGTAAAACCAGCTTTATTACACTGAGTAGCTAACTTAGAAGGAAAAAACCCGGATTTTTTACTGTCACGTCTCACTTGAGCAGGGGTCGTACAGAGTAATTTTGTAACTTGGATATCATAATTTCATGGTATTTCTGATGGAAATGATGATTTGGCATTATGACTTTTTTTCCCCAGCTTTGAATGATCACACCAACAATAGATTATTCTCTTATTTTCCTGATAGTTAGAGGAAGCACAAACAGGAAAAGGAAAATAAGGTTGGAGAAATAAGACGATATCAAGCATTCCCAAGGAATACCATAATTAGGATAAGAGATTTAGATGAAGTTAATTTATTCTCCTTTCAAGCATTCTTTGTACTTTATTGGATTTGAGGAACTTGATTAAATATGCATCGCTTTTTCTGAAGCTGAACTGAAATCAAAATAAGCCTTTATCAGTGTAATTACACCAGGCTCATGCCTAGGAGTTTTGAGGTGAGCACCGAATCCTGTTCTGTTGTTTGAAACATGCATAAAATAGCATATAATCTGTGTGGAAGACTAATCTTTCATTAATTATATTTGTTTCTGTTAGTAGCTGCTTATTTTTAATCATTAATTATTAAGAAAAGAACAAGGCAGCAATCTGTGGAAGCTTGACACAATTATTTGTCTCATGAGCTGTAATCTCTTTTTAGTTTCTCTAACCATTAGGCAGTAAAGAAAATACTAAGCTTAAAAAAAATGCTAGCTTTCAATGTTTCTAGATTTCTTTTTAAGATACTTCCTTATTCTAGACAACTTACTGTTCAGATTCTCCTTTCCTCCTGCTTAGTAGAATAGTATCTGTCTGCGTATGACAAACTTGAAGATTTCTGTAAATGTTTGTGCATCTGCTGTACTTGAGAACCAGCTTCACAGATTTATTATCTGAAACAGCATTTTTCTGTTTTCAGAAATGCCCAGTAACTTTTGGGTACATATTTCTTTTGACCCAAGTTTTTTTTGAGGTGCTCAAAGCCTGGTTGCAATAGGAACTAAAGACTTTCATTTCTAATTAGAGAGATGAAGGGCTTTTCAAGAGCAAGTGCTAGGACTGTTCAAAACCAGTCTCCAAAATTGAGGGTACCCAAAATAGAAGGTTTGCTGTTCGTTCTCCTTTGATACGAAAGTTACTTACGTACACTAAAAATAATTTAGGGTAAGTAGAGGTAGTACAATCTCCATTTCTGTAGTCCCAGTCCTTTTCTATTTTGGAAAATCATCATTCTCTTCTTAGTATGTAAGTTTTATACACATTCCTATAGTTTTCTTTAGATATGCCATGTTATTGCCCTTTGTTTGTTGTCTTTCTATTACAAACTTAATTGGAAAAAAAACAAAAACAAAACAAACAGAAAAAAGCATAATACTGGAAAATTTAAATTTGGCCTGTAAACAGAATATTAATTAATACCTGTCTTCACTCTGGGAATGTATCTGAAGTTTTCTCCGCTTTTTATTTTTAAACAAATTTTAAACCCCCTCCTAATGCATGCAGCTGCTTGTGTAGAAAGATTAATGCTGCTGTTCTTTTTACCATTTCCATACTTCTGCAGTATTGGTGTAATATAAATGAGGAGGTTTTTTTCTTTTTTTTTTCTTTATTTTATTTTTAATGGAGCATTCAGTTCTTTTTCTTCTCCTTTCTGTGAAAAATACACCTTTTTTTTGTTTTTTTTTTTCCCCTCTGAGACTGATTTTTGTGTGTGTGTTTGCGTGTGTGTGAAAATAGATTTTATCTTTTGGACAGACATTATCTCTCTTTGGGAATATGATATCCTGGATGTTTCTGTACCATAAATTACAAAAATTATAATTTGATTATTACCAGTCATTCTGAAGATGATTAGAAAACTATCTAGATTTAAACTTCACTTTTCTAAAATTTATTTAGAAGCCATATGGTGGTATTGGTATTAGCAATCACATTTCTATCATAGTCATATGTAACATTATTTTTGGAGGAAGAGGCTAGCGTTACGAGCTTTCTACCCCTACTTCAAACTTTTGAGTGCAGTATAGCAATATAAAATGCCTAAGGTACACGAAGCTTTCATCATGCAACAAATTATCTTGCATCTGTTCTGAATGGAGTCACATGTTGATTTTAAATCTAGTGTTGATCACTGAAGTGCTGGTCACCTATTAAGATAAAAATAAAAATAGAAAAGATGAAAGCTCTGAATACAGAAAGACATTAAAGGTTATAAAAATTCATGTGTCTATGCCATATAATCATTTTTCAGGCAATAGATTTATCTTACTGAAGTAATAAATGACAAAATTATAAACACTCTCATAATTCTTGACAAAAAATTGAGAAATACTGCAGTTCTTTTTACACATTAAAATCAGCTATACAGCATATTTTGGCTTTGGACAGAACAGAGTAGTCTGGACACGTATTCATTTTTATTAAGAGATCCTATAGGAAGAGGCTGACATTTTTAGTAGCAGAAGAGCTTTGATATGCTGATGAGCTGTAGAGAAATACACTTTAGGTTTAGTAAGCTAACTTTGGAACTATTTGCCTTTCTTTCTCTTTATTCAGTGCAGTACTGACAAATTCCAAGATAGGCAAAACTATTGTTTTTCTAGTTCAGTCCAGGCATCATTACCACTGCAGTGGTTCCGTGAAGAGAGGGAGTGTAAAATCCCTCCCGCTTCCAGCACCAAGTCACATCTCAGGTTTGCTTTGCTGAAAATCTTAGCAGAAAATATCACTTCCATGACATTAGGAGTGAGGGCGTTTTTTTCCTAGTGATTTTTTTCCCCAATATTTACTACCTTTTGACCTGTGGAAGAACACTGTATCATAACTGGAACGTTTGATGGGGAGCGTGATTCACACTTCTCTTTTCCTACACACGCACAGCGGATGCTGTTTCATGGGTGGCTTAATCCTCCACTTTCCCACATGCTGTTCTTGACCAATGTTCCCTCCTTTTTAATTTTGTTGGTTCTGGTAAGCATCAGCCTGGTTGATCCAACTGAAAATGAATCTCAGAGGGGGTGGGGAAAGAAATCTGCTGAATCCACATATGGGATTCTTTTGACTCAGGTTACAGTCCAGTTGGTTTAACCCAATAGTGATACTGCAAGATGATTTTTGAAAATAAAAGATGTTGGCATTTATGTGTAACATTTAATCTGTTTAGTCGATATGGATGAGATCTTTAAGGTAATGAGATTACATGTGCATATTTTGCTGACCTAATCTGTGTTGCAAGTGCTAAATTTTAACTGTTCTTTTTCTTTCAAGTTTCACTTAAGTATTTTAGTATTTCTTTCTCTGTCTTTTTTCTTGTTGCTCCTTGAATTACTTTGACATAAAAATGAAGGTGCTAGTTAAGAGGGAAAGTGGAAATTTGCTGTAATTATTGAACAATTCATGTAAATCCTACAGGTGGATGGAATTAGATCAATATTAAGGACCTTTTTTATGGTAATTTTATGTCTTCCCTTAACAGTGGAAATGGTGGGTCATCTACATCAGTGAAAGATCCACTTGGAATCCTAGAAGGCATTGTTTCTGCAGTGCATGCAAGTGTTGAGAAAGGGTAAGAACTTACTGTGTGGTTTCTTTGGTTAAGACTTTGAAAGATACTTCTCGTGAAAGCATCGAAGGTATGATACTGAACGTGGATGATTTTTCTTCATGAATATGTATATATGTAATGGATTTGTATTTAACTTTATTCTAGAGCAGGCTATCATATATCAGGTTCAAAATCTGAGCCCTGACAGAAGCCTTTGCTTGGTCATTTGGAAGGAAACAAGTCACTGAACCTAAAATTTAGATAACTATGTATTATGGTGATTTGAGAAAATGTTTTTTCTGCTGTGACTACTGCAGACTGAATATCTACCAGGATTACTTCACTGCTTTTGTTTCAGTATAGTGGATAAATTACAAATAATAATGACTCGCTTTCAGATATCTGAATGTAGATATCTAAATTTGTCAATATTTGTAGGGTATAGTGCGGAAACAGTTTCACAAATGCCGTATAATGCTTCACCACATTTTTTTCTCCTCTTTTGGGGTTGTCCTTATTTCAGGTCACATAATGATCTGTATGTCTCGCTGACATTTTCCATTGCATTTCTAGTAAAGACAAGGAAGGGAAAAAAAATATTCAGGTTTCTTTTTCCAGATGTACAAACTAAGAACTCATATGTGATAATAAAACCCCATACTCTCTGGTAGCCAGAAAGAACAATTGTACTATTATGTGGAGGCTTCTCCACTGACATTAAATTATTTAAATATTGGATACTGAAGTAGACTGAATTGATGTCCAAATCTACAGTAAATCTTATTTGTGATATTACAAGGTAGACTGGGAGAGTCAGTAGTATTTTATTCTGAGATACACTTTCTGGACTCTTTTATTTGTATGTGTCATCAACATTTAACTGCTGAAACAATAAGCTGGAGTGAAAGTAATTGTGATTACAGGAGATTGTTTACATTCATTTAAATACTTGTTCTCACTTATCTCCTTAAACCTCAGCTATTCAATTTGCAAAATATAAATCTTTCCCTCAGGAAAACATATATAAACATCAGGTGTGAGCTCTACAAAACTCTTGAAATATTCCAGCAGGTCCTCTTAATTCCCAAACTTTTAATCTACAGTTTAAATGCCAGCTGTATGGCAGAGACATGTCTAATTTAGCTGAAGTTCTGAGCTAACAGTATCATTCAGACAATATTAAGCCTAAGTAAAATTGAAATCCTTGTAATATGAAAACCTGAGCTGTCAATGTTTATTATTTCAGAGCTGCAAGACAGGTTAAATTGGTGTTTTCTGTCTGATATTACTTTTCCATCTGTCTTGTTAAGACGAATAAGGGAACATTAGTTATAAATCACACTCCACCTGGAACCACTTTCTTGATTTTTTTTTTTTTTTTAAGGAAAAAAAATAGCTCTAGTTTAAAAAACTACTGAAAGATAGCAGAATAGCATTTTCTGATTTGTTACATGCTAGTTTATAGCCTGTAAGAGACATAACAGATTTTTCTGTCTGCAACTTCTACCTGGTTGGTGAGTTCACGGTAATCTGTGTACTATAAATACTTTCACACAGAATGTATTCAATATAATATACTTTTTGAATCAAATTATTTAATTAAGAGTTTTTCTAATTAGCCAAGTCAGGAAAAACCCAAAACTTAGGGGTTTTAACATCTCTCTCTTTTTTTTTTTTTTTTTTTTCTTTCTTTCTAGGGGTTATGGGCATTCTGCAATCATTATGATACTAGACCATACAATAATCAAGCTGGCTAGAGGTGGTACAGAAAAAAAAAAAGAAATCACTAGACCTACAATCAGGAGAAATTAATTTGTGTATGTGGAGTGTAAAGAAGGGACTTGTAAGGAAAGAAAGAGAATATAGGGTAATATGAATAAGTATCAGATGTAAAAATGTCATATTTAAAAGGCAATCAGTCAAGCCGATTGTCCATAAAGTCAGACAACATGGAAGTACAGGCATCAGTCAGGAGCAGACACCATAAGAAGGCTTGGATTTTTCAGGTGCTGAAATCCAGCACCATTACAATAGGATTGGCAGTCAAGTTAGTATGTGGGAGAGTATGTAACTGTATAGATGGATTTCTGTGGTATTACATGGTTATTTGAAGTTCACTAAAAAGTGCTAGTTTCTCTGCACCTCACAGGGGTGAGCTTTCCCATTACGTATTTGTTTTACATTGAATGTACTTGTTAACAGCTTTGAAACTACATGTGGGTCTGTCATTAGGATTACCAAAGACTATTTAACACAGTATTGTTTAATTACAGGGAGAAAGTAGTTTCTTCAGATGACCTTCTGGAGTGGTTGAGACCTTTCTGTGGTGATGACTCCTTAGCAGTGAAGCCTCGCATCAGAGTATTGCAAATTCTGGAGCAAGCCTTCCATCTCAGTGATGAGGATAGCAGACTACTTGTGTACTTCAGGACACAAGCTGTTCTCAGAGCTTGCTGGCCTGAAACAAAGGTATTAATATTGATCGCTATAAGTGATAGCATAAGACTGTTTTTATACAAGGATTATATGATGAAATGCCGGTTTCAATATATGGTTGCAATGCGTCCTGTTGGTATGAGAACTAATCCTACCTTTCTTTTGAATCAGGTTTCTAATACATTCTGATTCTTTGAAAAACTAGTGAAGTAAAGTTAATGGTCTCTTCAGCTTTTGTTTGGGATGAGTACATAATACAGAGCTTGAGTAAACACTAATGATTTTCCTCCATGTCAAGCATTGACTTTGAAATTTTTGTATATTCTTACTTTTCTGACCATTGTTTCTGTCAATTTTACCTTCCTTCTTTATCTTCTATTTTGTGTGACAATATAGTCAGAATTAGAATGAGAATTACTGGCCACTATCTTTTTTTTTCGTGGGGTCTTTAGTATTATTCTGTGAGTATGTAATAGGAACATTAAGGACACTCTCAAATGGGAAGACTTAATTTATACGGAATGCATTTAGTCATAGTTAGTCTGCTGTTGTCTGTCTTATGAGGCAGCACCTAACAACTGAAAGACAGTAGCTGCTTAAAAACAGCACATACTTTACTTTAACTGCCCAAGTAATAATTTTAAGTCTTTTTCAATGTAAAGTCAGGAAAAAATAAAGTCAAGTCCTTGCTGACAGAAGTTACTCTTTGCTATTTATTTGTTTTCCACTGAGACAGAAACTCTCCAAGTTTTCAAGCCTAAGACAAATTAAGTTTCCTTCTAAATTAAAGGGTGAGAAAATGCCTAGCTTTCATTTTTTAAGTATATGTAAAACTTGATGTAAGACTGGTAAGGATCTTCTAGTGAAAGTTTGTGGGAGTGAAAACACTTGAGTTTATCAAGTAGAATATTAAAAATTCCACATATACAAAATGTCTCTTGTTGATTATTCATTAATATTTGAACTGCTTTATTTCATGACTCATTTTGGTGAAGTGCTTAATATCCAAGTACGTATTTTTAGAGGTTCTACATTTAGTCTTCTAAGTACAATGAAAAATATACTAACGCTTAACAGGAAGAAATAGTCATGTCTTTGAAGCATGTGCCATTTTGAAATCATGAGTATTAGTTGCTGCATGTAGAATTATTCAGAAGCAGAGTTATTTTTTTGTGCATTTTCTGAACGCCTCACCCCATGCCAAGGCCTTATGGAACTAAACCAGAACATTTCTAATAGTTCCTCAAAAAAAATTGTGCACAAAAATATTTTATATTCATATAAAACAAACACAATATCTGTTTTGACTCACTGTGCTGAGATCGTCCAAGGGAATAATCATAATAAAAATCATAAAAAGAAAAAGAAAATGCTTATCTTTTAGTTTCTTTAGAAATTACTTTTTCTCTTGCATTCACAATAATACCAGCACTTAATTCCTCAACTGCTCCTCAGGTGTCTGTCTATGATTGGATTCTTCATCTTTAGTTCAGTCCTTTGTCAATATTTGTGTTGCCTGTGACCCACTTTCCAATCCAAAAGCGTTTCAAGTCTAAAAGATTCAACTAGAGTGTGTTTTAAGAAAAAAGTTACAGATAGATAATAGCTTTCATGTCTGTGGAAGACAGAAAAAGAACCTGTATTTGACAGAAACCTTGTAAGACTCATTACGCTTGTTTGAGAAATATATAAAATAAGATCATTTTTATTTTCTCCCATAATCTGGTAAGTCAAAATGTACATAACTTTACAACGTGAGATTCGCATCCATTTGCTTTTTGTCTGGTGATGGTTTAGGAATTAATTGAATGCATTGCATATGCTGCTGGCTCACGTGTAGCTCGCTGGCCACCAGGACCCCCACAGCCCCCTGAGCAGCAGATGTGGTGGATTTTTAGAGTACTCCTTGTTTTGAGCAGGAAAACATACCTGTTTCTTGTGAGGGAAGAAGTTTGTACTTACTCTATCCAGCAGTCCATTTGCTCATAACACAGAGTTGCTGATCACTTCGGTGCTCTGCTCTTTTGCTGATGCATAAGCAAGTAGTGCTTGCAGCCATGTAGTGAAAAGCTTAAGTACGGTGCTAGATAAGCTCAAACCTTTCAGAGCTAATTGTATAAAAATGTGTCTACAATACTGTAATATAAAATTATCTGTATATAGTATTTATTATTTAGCTAAGTTCAACAGTAGTTTTCATATTTAGCAATAGTGAAAGCTGTATTTACATATATACACACATATGTGTATATATAAAAATCATTGGTTTTTCACCCCAGTTCCTGCTATGGAGTGCAATTATAAGAGTCCTGTATGTAAAAATTATTCTAATTTTCATGTGAGTTCAAGCTAAATATGATAGATGAGAACCCTTTGTTTTCATTAACTATTTTGTGCTGGGTAACTAACGTGTGATTCAGAGAGAACAGTCATATTGGTTGTCTTTTAGGTATTGGTCATTGAAATTCAGAGTTCTTTACAAATGTCCAAGAAAACAAATGAGTGATCCACTATTTAAACTATTTTTTTTTCTTTTTTTTTAATCTTCTGGTCAGCTGATGTCAAATGCTAGTCTACAAGCTGATATTAGAAAAAGCAAGTGGTAACCTTATTTGATGATTGTTGCCTTATTTTGTGAATTAACAAACAGAAAAAATAGCATAATAATATAGCATATTGAAAACTTTATTCTCTGTATTTTTGCTGGGTACATTTCACAATCCTTCATGGTATGTTAATGAAACAAGAACACTGCAGAATTCAGTAGTTACATGTCTGCTGAAAAGTGGAGAGAGAGAGATTTGTATGTGAGCTTTTGGCAAAGCATTAAGCAAGTTCCTCATGCAGGTTAACGCTTCAGGTGCAAAGACCTTCAAAAGCAACCCCATTCTATGGAAGGGGCTGTTGAAGCACAATTTAAAAGTTTTATCGGGTTGCTGGGTAATCCTGGGTGCAGCAGGGTCAAAAAGTAGACGCAAGGAATTACATCTTTCAAATGTGTGCTCAGACTGCTATGTCAGTCTGCCTCGTCTGTAGGTATCAGTTTTCTAGCATGAACACACCTTTATTAATTTGGTCATCCTTTCTCATCCAGTGAAGTAGTAATAAACCCCTTGATCACATTTTGGGTTTTTTTAAAATGAACTTTAAATTGTTAATATTTCAAAAGTATGTTCATTATCTTACTTCCAGATTGTTTTATCCTTACTTGCTTGACGTTTCTTACATGCTTTTAGGGGATCCTCTTTTCCTTTACCATTCCTTGGTACAAAAAAGGACAGCAGATATTGTAAAGGATGAATGTAGATTTCTTTTGAGTAAAGATAAGTTTAATGATATTGCGGTGTTCAATTACCAGAAAATGTGTGAAAGCCACCCTCAGTGTGTCTACTAATCCTCTTAGTCAGACCTTGCATACATCAAGGAGGGACTTAATATTTAATTATGCTCTAGGTGCTCTAAGTAGTGGACCCACAAATCAATGTGCTGCTGGGAAACAGGCCAGCCCTTACAAAATTAAAAATGTGCTTTATGGAAGCAGCTACCTATCAAACAATCAGAAACACAGCAATTTCCAGTCCTCTAATGATTAGTTAACAAAATTAAAAATTCAGGGATCCTCATTTTTCAAAGGCTTGAGAATCTTTAATTCACATGCCAGTAGCATCCCACACTACTGGAGGGAGGAGGCATGCGTTGTTTTAATCCCCTTGATGAATTTTATCTGAGCTCCTCAGGTTCTGTAATTTTCTAGTTAACTGGTGCATGAAAAATATGGGTCAAAATACTGAGTTTTTTATATATAAAAAAATGTTGGGGGGTGAGAAAAACATAGTTTAGAATGTTCAGATCAAATTATAGCTTTATCCATCTAAGATGGGTATTCATGTAATATATGAAAACATAGTCTGTAGTGACTCAGCACTGTCTAACTTATGTAAGGTATCAACTAACAGTTTATGTGTGTGTACATAGTCGTTCAGTTCAGTGACCAGTTACAAAGCATAAGTTACAGAAATAAGAGTTAGGGTTTTGCCCCAGGAAGTTACAGCAGCACTGACAAAGCTTCTGTAGGTAAACCAAGGGTTAGTTGAAGATAAGAAGTTAATAATTGTGAAGCTTCTATAAGACACACCTTGTTTTAAAAGGATTGTTTAATTATTATGCAAATGCAAAAAGTCATTACTGTTTGCATGCCACTTAAATGCAAATAGCTTTGTCATTTAGAGAAGGTAATCTCATTTAGCCTTTCCCCTCATATTGTTGTATTACCTTTTTTTCATGATCTTGGGGTAAGCAGCAGAGCTGGTGAGGGCTAAGCATTTTTTGAAATCGGAAGGGATATCTAATATGAATTTAAGATTCTAACTTTAGGCACCTTTCTTATTTTATCTGTTTGTTTGTCTGTTGGGTTTTTTTTCCCCTAAAGTTTAGCTTTGAAAAATGGCCAGATTAATTTGTACTTGTGTACATCCCACACACATTTGCCCTTCCTTCATATAGGCAATTTATGTATGCCATATTCAATTTTTTATGTCTCAGCAGCCTTAGTAATGTTTACATTAACGTAATGACTTTCTGAGAACTTGAGTATGGCCGTCAAGCCTCTATTGCTCTTTTGTTTCTCTTCCCCCAGTGTATGAAAAATCTGTATCTGTTTACATCATATTTCTTCATATGACTTCATAAAGAAAGGTCTCAATGGGAATAAGTCAATGTCCAGCGGTTTTCAACTTTTTCCCATTGCCTCTACTTGTGTCAGAGAGATTTAAACCTAAGGATTTGGAAAGCACAGTGAGATTTAAGCATTCCCAAGTCATTTTGCTGTAGTCATTTATCAGGTAACAGTGACCTGTATTTAGCTTGATCTGGCAAAATACAAGTGAAGGAGCTGTATCTGTTTAATCCTCAGCCATCTTTTATTTCTGAAAAATGCTTAATTAGAAGAAAGATTTATGGTCCTATCAACTTTGAGTAAATTTGTTATGATGTTGTTTGTAATTCTAGAGACATTGTTTCTCTACTGGTAATGC